ATTTGTGATTGCTCTCTCTGTATTTTTGTGACATGGTGGTTTGGAACCATTGTATGATTGTGCAGGCTTGTGATGAATGCATTTACAAAACTCTATCTCATTCAGAACATTCCAGAAAGGGTGTTGTAAGATTATATGTCAATGATAAATAAAGGATATCTACCTTTTCAAAGAGTCGCCGAACTATTTCTAGGACAAGTATAACGAAAAAGACTGACAGAGTGGGTTGGATGTATTATAACAAAAATGGCACCCTTATTTAAACTAAGGAGACTGCATGTTGACTTCGGTATGCGAGGGTATCATTAAGGGATAAGTCCACCCTGATATTAAATTGATTTAAATGAAGCAACACAAATAGAGAAACAACAGGCTATTCCCGTAATGTAACCAAATTTAATGCATACGTCTATGTGAAGTGCCTCGAAACAAAACTATTTCATTCACCTGATAAGAATAGTAGTATTTCAATAGACAGAATCCGAACTGCATACATTAGTTGTTGCCAGGTAGGACAACCAGTATGGCTTGCCCTACCTAGCAACACTTAATATATGTAGTTTGCATTCTGACTATTGAAATACTATTATTCTTATCAGGTGAATGAAATAGTTTGCATTGAGGCACTTCAAAAAGACGTATGCATTAAATTTGGTTACATTACGAAAATGGCCTATTCAATGACTTTGAGACAAATCGGACAACAATTATAAAAGTTATGAATCTTTTAAAATCATAAAAAATCATGGAATCCATGAAACAAATTGGCAATGCGGTCAGAAATTGTGATGTCATCCCCTCACAATTCACCACTGATCTGAATGACAGAATGACCCCAAATCTCCATTTCTCTGAATCGTAGACCTATCTTATTATGGGGGTGGGTGCATCAGTAAAAGAACATGTTATCCGTGATATAAGATCGAGATAGGCATGAAGAAAAAATATGTTTTGATCAAAATGGAATGTAATGGCATTTCTTGCATTCAACAAAGGATATACTTGTTAGGGGATGACATCATAATTAGAGACCGCGTTACCACTTTGTCTCACTGATTTGAAGTTTTTCATGAAAAGTTTTTCAAAATTTTCTCAAACCTTCACTGATCGGTTCTTCTCATTTTGCACCTTGCATGTATTAAAACAAACTTATTATCAGTTTGGACTTCCCCTTTAATGCTGATGGTATGCTACAATTTATACCAGAGGAACTCTCTAATGATGTATGAGACCCCTAAACCTGTTTGATTTTTTTTTTAATCCCCCACCCCAACGGTTGAGAAATCAGTGTGACGAATGCAGCTTCTTCACATATCTATATTAAATGTTAATCATACTCGGAGTTGTGTTCTAGACGATAAGTTGTCGGACTGTGTTTCAGGAGGTACGGAGTTCGAATCAAGCCACAGCACTAACGTCCTTTTAGCAAGACATTAATAAACATTTGCCATACCTATCTTGCTACCCTATTTTGCTATCTTGCAAAAATTACAAAGATAATGTGCCAAAAGGCGTATTGAGAATGAACTAGTTGTTTTATACTTCAAAGAACAATAACTGATCGTATCGTCTGCAACTTTATCAGTTAACTCAAAGTTATTAAATTTTCATTATTTCGTTGCAAATCAGTAGGTCTAAAGTTTGAAGCGATTAGGAACAACTATTTTCTTCCACTACGCACGATTGTAATCTGAATGCCTTTTAAAGATGTAACCTTTGTACACCATATTCCTTCCCATTTTTATCAACATGTGTGGTACCATCTTAAAGGGATAGTTGAGTTCTGTTTTCAGACCGCAAATGCCTTCAAAGTGCATGGTTATTGCTCTTATTCTTATCTATGCATTTCTAGTGCCCTTTTAGAACCTAAAATTGCTATGAAGGTAATTTTAGACCCCAAATTGTGTGAAATTTACGAGCATACCAATTCAGCTCCACTTTAAGAAAAACATGGTGACCGTTAATTATTTCATTAAAAATAACATAGCATGGGCCGGCTGGTTGTGCGTATAATAAGCAACACGAAAATGCCAACAAAAAAGGCCAACATAGACATTGGCTGAAATACAACATAACAAGCGTTATTTTGTTTTTTCAACGGTTTTTTCAAATTTTTCAAATTATCTAATATTTGTGGTGGTACACAAGTATTAGAAATCGCTATATTTCAGCCGTCTCTGAACTGATTTTGATCAAACAAAGATGATTTTGTCATTTAAATATTATGTTCTTTCAAATTTGAGACTCAGTTTTTCATTATCTCACAAAAAAATAATTTTGTGTAGCGCCCTCTGCAACAGAACTCAACTATCCCTTTAACTTAAAATTGGGTCAAAGTACATGTATATTGATTTAACAAGATATTTGTATCGAGTGTTGAAAAATTGATGTAGATTATGATGTACCCTGGGAATCGAGTCAATAGACCTTGAAATATAGGCTTCTATTAAGTTGTTCTGCTTCCCCTTTTCATTAATTTGTATGATATAATGCACATATATTATATGTAAATGCATGGCGTGTCTTCATGTTCGAATTGTGATATTTCCAATTAAGTTTTTGACCTCTGACCTCAATTCTCTCGGAGCAGGTAACTTCACATAATGGGGTGTTAGGAAAATATAAAGGCATATACCAGCCAGGATTGAAAACGCATTTCAAAATGTAGAGCGTATCGTGTCTTGAAAAAAGGATATCTTTTCCAATGAAGAAAACAATGCAATCATGTTGCTTAACATTAGTTTCAAGAAAGTGACTTTATCTGAAGTCTCATTGAAGTCAGCATCACTGTTTATCCGATGTCAGATTTCAGCTATTTAAGGATGCATGAAAAGAATTACGAGACATATGAGGCTCAGTAAACGTAGAACCATCTGCTTAATTTTCACGTCATATTTCCTCTTTCGATGTAGGCCTAATCCAAATCCTGATTTGAAAGGGGATCCTTATTAATGTATGAATCGAACCTGACATTTCATGCAGATAATATGCAAATAAACCACTTCGAAGAAACTTTGAACTATCTATAAATTCTATATTATACAGGTTGGCGTATTATTTTCAAGAGGGCAAAGAAAATGCATTCACAAAGCACCTTTATAACTTTGGCAGTGATTATTCAAATATCTATAAATTCTATATTATACAGGTTGGCGTATTATTTTCAAGAGGGCAAACAAAATGCATTCACGAAGCACCTATATAACTTTGGCTGTGATTATTCAAATATGCACACAATTGCACGTCTCCATATGTAAAATTTTGTGGTATTTGGGGTCATTTGTAAAGTTTTATTTCTGAAGTGGCTTCTAAAATGGTATGTCTAAACTGTCAATTCTTAAGCTCACCAAATTGCCCACAAACCAACAAAGCCATATATCTTCTACTGTTGCTGTTAAAATGATAATTATATTCAACGAGAAAATTATAGTACTTTTTTCTACAAGATTTTCACTCAATACTCCACCTGTATGAATAGTGACCGTGTTATTTTTGTTCAACAACCGATAATGCATTTGAACTAGCTTTTTGAGACCTGAGTGAACCACCTGTGAACTTTGAGATCAAGGTCCCAGGGGTGTTTGTGCAATCAGCAGAATATGGACCTTGGAGTTTATGGTTCATGGTGATGATTTTATGCAAACACTGATGTCAAACATAAGGGTATCATGTAGAAACCAGCATTGAAGGTAAAGACCAGTTTTGGAAACAGCCCCTGCTAAAAAAATTAAATGGAAGCTCTTATTACCAATCATGTGAAAGAATATGTTTTGACTAATACGTGATGATACAAATTTTGCCAGGAAACCGCCTACAAATTGATATATTTGGTAAATTATTATATTTATCTGGACTGGATAGACGTAGGGTAGTCCCATATACATCTTTCTGTGTACAGTGCTTGTAACTTTACCAAGACTGGGCAAAATTTCTTACCATTTTGATGATTCCAGAACCTTACAGTACACACGAATAAGTATATGCTAGAAGATCAACCTTTTCTGATCGATTCTACTACGTTTCTTTCACAATGCAATCGCATGACCAGAACTGGTCTATAACTTTAACCATACATTAAGGAAAATGCAAGAGGGGTAATCTAATTGTGGGGCAGGCCTACATATATCAGACAAATAAGAAAGGAAGCGAAAACATTATTGTAATTCGCTCCAAATGTCACAACTGTCAAAGAAAAACAGAAATAAAGAAATAGAGAGGGGTAGAGCTAGTGAGGGGGGGGGGGGGGGGCAATGATATGATTTTCACCATTAAGGTTGTTTTTAAAAATTTCCCCTTATACAAATTTGTATTTGTACAGTAAAATTCCCACAGGAATATAACAAATACACTCAACGTCAGAATTCACACCTCAATGCACATTTACAAATTTAAGGCGACGGAGAATTGATATTGCCAATTCCAATTGTTATGGGTGTCTGCTTCAGACATTTCATTTTTTATCCGGAAACAGATATTTATTTACTGTTCCTGGTCCTGAATAGAACTGTGAGAGTTATGTTTCCCTTGCATCTTTGGGAAGGAAAGAATTGTGCCCGTGCAATGAAATATAACCATTTGTGTCGCGGGAATCTTTATACAGCTTATGTACCTTTTCGTGATGGTTTCTGGCAACCATCCAAATTTAGTTCAAGCATATAAAAACACCACTCGCTTTTGAATAATGCCTCGTGTGCAATGGACGTATTTTGTTAGTATTATGTAATTTATTGGTCATATCATAACATTTATTCATACTGGACATAGTAATACGAAGATTGTCATCATACAGAGAATGCAATTGCAAACCATGTTTCTCTTTTTTTTATGTTTAGGTATTACATGGTACATTAAAGTAGCAGTTGCATTCAAATTAATCTCAGGTCATTCAACCATTAAAAGAAAATGGGCATTATGGTAATACTAATGATTATACTAAATTGTTTCCTTTCGTCAGATCTTTGAACGCATAGAAGACGGCAGAGAGAATGGCACATTCAATAATGTCAAGCTACAAGATATCGAAGCCCCCGGGTTACAAAGATGTAAACTCAGACGGAGACAGCATGACTCCACCAGCTTCTCCTACCACGGATCCAACCAATTCACTGAAGAACGACAATAAGGGAAACCAATCATCAGCCAAGGACGACGTCGACGGCGGTGGCGAGAACGACGACGAGAGGAAGATACAGCGCGCCGAACGCGGTGACGTCGGTATCGTGAATGGGATATTAAATGATGGCAAGGAAGACAAGATCAACAACCAGTTAATCCTCCCGGTGGATGATGTCGTAACCGATGGGGCGGGGGAGAAGAACTCGCTACCGGTGGAGCGAAAGAAGGGCGTGGTCGAGAAAGGGGTGCAAGAAAGGAAGGGTGTGGTCATGAAGGATGCGATGGATGGTGGAGCTCAGTGTAACAAAGGAGGTGTGGAAGAGAATGGGGCACCACCCGTCGAGTCCCAGGGGCACCTGGATCAAAGAAAAGAGGTAAAGAATGTGAGGTTTATGTATTATAAAATGTCATTTGATTTATGGTATAATATTTTAATAGTCAGAATGCAATTTGAATAAATTAAATGTTGTTATGTCGGGCAATCAATGGATTTTAGTACTGAGCAACAATTATTGCATGCAATTCGCATCCAGACTATTAAGATATTCGTAACCAGAAGTATATGAAACTAGAAATGCAATCGTGATCAACGATATGCGTGCAATGACGACCGTGTATCAACGTGTCAAACAAAAGAGCTTATCTAGGACTATCCGTAGCAATCTGTAAGAAGTCTGTAGCTTCTGTGCTAGTGAAGATAGGTAGGGCGAAAGAAAGGCCTCAAAAACGACCCGAAACGGACAAAATGGCGCCTGGACGGTCACGCATGAATGATTCCGGAGAACGAAAATTTCGTAAGAAGTTTGAAAGGAAATGGGATAGAGGAAGGGACCTAGAAAGGGCTCGCAAGTACTGCGTGAAAAACGAATGGGATTGCGGTGAATGAAGAACATGTGATAACGCGTGATGTGCCTCTAAAAGCCGTCAATACTAACATAATCACAAGAGTATAAAATGGCGTCTAAAATGGACGCCTTGACAGATTTTTAAAAATCCGGCTTCGAAAAGCCCTGACTATGGCCACCCAGAGTATGCTTGCAAAATTTTAAGGAAAAAGAAGGAGGAAAAGGGGGCGAAAAGCAGTCTGAAAAATGACGTGATAGCCGATGCGTGTTATAACTCGTATTGAGGTACTATACAAAAAAGGTGTGCATTACATTTGGCTGCATACATTACGAAAATGGCCATTTGCCATTGCATAGTAACATGGGATATTATTTACAGCATTACATAATTGGCCTATGACATTCACATCATTCTATGATTCGGCATCGCTTTATGATTATGAATGAGTTGTGTCTTTTGTAGGCATATTTTGCCATAGGTAAGGACACTTGATGGCAATTTTGGTATAGGTCCTTGCTCACTCACACACCCAAACATTCACAAAAGCATTTATTGGAATCCCTTGATTTTATTCAATAAAATGAAAGAGGCATTTAGTTATGAATGTTGTGTGATTATATTTTCCACTCCCAGTGTAAATCGAGTTTATAAACTTTTCAAGATGACGAAGGGATTTCGTCTTTCAATTTCGTATGGTGACCTAATTGACAATTATGTTTTCTTTTCATATTTATATTTTACGTAGGCTTACCAATGGTTTCTGTAAATTTTTTGTTCTTAACGGTCGGATGACATCCAAATATAAGTTTCATAAGATTCATGATGATGTGCAGAACTGCATACAACTTATATTTCGTTATTCAATCATCTTAATATGAGTTGTATGCAGCCACGCACATCAACAGGAATCAACTTATATTTGGATTACACCCGACCTTTAATGTCCTTTCGATCTCTGACCTATATAAATATCAATTTTAAAAAAGACTGAAGGCCTAATAAATACGCTTAATGACAAGCATGTTTATTTTATTATGATCGATCTTTCCAAAAAAGTCCAGCGGTACTTTTAGGCGGATATTGCGAAAGAACTAAAGCAAGGATTGTTCACTGAACTGTCTAGTCTTTTGAACTATAGAATATACTGAAATCGTAGTAGAGTTTTTACCATACTTCCTTTCGGTTCTTATTTCACTGTTTACATGTAGATTTTGATATTTTTTAAAGGAATGGTTCTACAATATCAAATTTATCATGAATGTGATTAAGGAAAACTTCTCTCCCTCTTTTTAAACAATGCTCTCTTTAAAACTATATACCTTTTCATTTGTATCATTGCCATGATACCACAGAAGGCGATGACCACGACGCACCGAGATGTCAGCGAGGAGAACGTATACGGGCTCATCGACGACATCGAAGAAGCTATAACATTGGTGTCGAAAGAAGAAGGCGGGGCCACTGGTCGACTGGTAGAAAATGTGAAGGCTATTCTTCCTCTCGTGTTGTACATGCTCAATGAAGTGACCACACTTCGGGTAGGTCTATGAATATTGTTCGTAAGAAAACATAAAAAATGCAGAGGTGAAAAATCGTCATTTAATCCGGTTTATTGCTTCAGCATCTTTTAAGACAAACACCTGATTCTTTTGTCTTAATTTTAGGCCATACAGTATATCAGGTATATACATGCAATACTATTACTTTTCATCAACCCTTATCCCCCCAAAAAAAAATGTCTAGAAAGTAAACGGATTTCTTTGCATAATTTGAATACTGGGACACTTCTAATGTTTGAATTTCACAGATAGGACATACGTGACATATTCATAACTCATGCAAAGTTCTACAGAGTTCTACAGAATTTGATATTGGCTGCAAATGGGACATAGTACCTTTAATGGATCTACCCTTTTCATAATTTTTCTGTTTTTGTTTAAAAAAATGGAAGTCGAATAACTCGATTATAAACATGTTATAAACAATTTAATGATATAAGGTATGTTGCAATCGGGGATATTTAATTCGTCATAATGTTCTTCCTGTTGTTAGCTATTACCGTGCTGGTTTGGTTTTGAATGTAATGGTTCATGCGAGCTATGACAAAAACACACACTAAACAAAACAGAAACAAGAAACAACTGCAAAGTTAAAAGATAAGGTCATAACCCACACGAACCATTACCCCCACTCTTGAATATACAAGTTACAATTAAAATGCCAAACACAATGACAATTTTTAATCAGGCCACCTTAATGCAATTTTGCGCCTAAATTTGATAATCATTTTCACCTTACACCTAAAAAACTGTAAAAAACAATTACCAATATTGGACACATTATTGGTTCAAATTATTGGTCAGACCCTGAATTCTCTTCATTTTGGGCATTTGTTTTTAGAGTGCTATATCATTATGTAAACTGTTATTGTATCAGGCAGGGCTTTCTCGAGAATTAGGTCCACTGGCTTCCTGTTGAAAGAAATTACGAATGAATAAATAAAATTGATAAACCCTTAGGCCACTTACACAATAGAAAACAGTGGTGGCTGTTGATGATATTGCCGTTATTATTATATTATTAGTATTATTATTATTAGTAGTATAAGTAGTAGTAGTCTAATCGTAGAAGTAGTAGTAGTGGTAGTAGTAGTAGTAGTATCAGTAGTAATCGTAGAAGTAGTAGTAGTAGTATCAGTAGTAATCGTAGAAGTAGTAGTAGTAGTAGTAGTACACGTTATAGTAGTAGTAGTAGTAGTAGTAGTAGTAGTAGTAGTAGTAGTAGTAAAAGTAGTATTAGTAGTAGTAGTTGTTGTAGTAGTAGCAGTAGTAGTAGTAGTAGTTGTGGTAATAGTATAGTAGTAGTAGTTTGTGTAGTAGCATCAACATTATCATTGAATTAAAAATTACTATTCGTATCTTTCAGGGCACGTTGAATGGCTTCATCCTCGAGAAGAGGAGCCTTCAGAAGGAGGTCCGTCAGTTGAAGAAAGAGATTGAAGAAAGGTTTGTATGAAGAAGCGAATTATCTCTGACATTTATTTGCGAACATAAAAATTAAAGAGAATTAACATTAATTGTAAATCTATAATTCTTTATTAATGGGAGGGAAATGTTTGAAACCTTGTCAACAAATTTGGATATCTTTTTCTCTGACAATTTTGAGCAACTTTATAATTATTATTGAATTCAATTTAACTATTCATATCTTTCCGAAAGTTCTAGTGAAGCAACAAACTCTTAATCTCCAACTTATTCATCTATTTATTTATTTGTCTATTGACTTATTAGTTTATTCCTCTTTTTTAATGTATTTATTTATCTATTTATTTTATATATATCTCTTTATTCAAGTAATTAATCATTTATACATTAAATGAAGATCGATAATTAATTTAGGTATTCATCTATTTATTTACGGGTATTTTGAATTTACACTTACAGGGATGCTAAAGATGCTACTATTGGTACCACCTCAACTGTCTCGTCAAGCGTAAATCCGATTCTGGTAGGTAAAAAAATGTCTGTCCCATATGCGACCCCTATTATTTTGTTTTTAAAAAAAGACAGTATTTCCTATTTCCCAGTCACATCACTGCTGTAGCTATGGGGGCAAGGGGCCACATGCCCCAAATCAAACGGAAAAACATGGGGAGAAGGAGGAGGAGGAGGAGAAGAAGAAGAAGAAGAAGAAGAAGAAGATGAAGATTAGCGTTTTAGCTTTATAAAACCAGATTGTGGAGAGAAGATAAATAATAATGATAAGAAGAAGAAGAAGAAGAAAGATTAAAAGAAAAAGAAGTAGAATTAGGAAGAAGAACAGGAATAAATCAATTGTATCCCTGCGATGTCGCTTATAAAACCAGACTATGACCCATTCAGTGATAGGTCCAGAGGGGATATCGGAGACGTGCCCCTCTTTCTTTTCTGTCCAAGTTCCCTAGCACATATTTTGGCTTTGAACACCTCTTCTAAGTTCAACGTGTTTAGGTCTCTTCCATAACATGTACGTCTGTAGTCTGACAACCCCGTACCCCCCCTCCCCACTCATTTTAACCCGTCATCAGTCTGATCTACGTCCTCTCGATCTCCTTCTGTCCAGAGGCACGCGTGGGGCACATCCCCCCAAACCGGAATGGCGGAGAAAAGGGAAGAAAGAGAGGCGAAAAGACATGTAGAGAATACGATAAGAACCTCTCCCACACCCTCTTCATATTCAAAGGCCGTGTTATTTTTTGGTGGCATTTTATGTTTTTGGGGAATCGCTACCCATCCCCCTGGTGCCAGTGCCCCTTTTAATAAATGAACCCCGTTACGCCACTAAGTTATGTATCTTATCATGCGCCCTCCAGCCAGGATGACAAAAGAGAACAGGAAATTACACCCAAAATATCTTATCTGATTTAAACGACGTCATTGCGGCTTGTGGTAATAAACAAACCTCATTTCTTTGGTTTATGGGAAAGTCCATTATATCCTTGCAACAGGACTCAAATTAATTTTTTGTCCACGGGGGCTCTTACCCCCCCCCCCCCAAAAAAGAGCCCCCGTGAGCCTTCTCACAGGAGCTCTTTTAGTACTGACGGGGGCTCTTTTTTATACAAATATCCATACCAGCTTTATAGTTGTTACTGACTTTCATCCCCTGATGACATTCTCTCGATTTTTTCCCCGTTCTGCACATTATTTCCTCCTCATTATTCGGAGCAACCTTTACATTCTTTCTTTACTGAGCCGCGTAGCGGCGAGGCGATTTTGTGTGTGTGCTATTTTGGACAGGCGCGGATCCACGGGCCGATTCTACCGCCCCCTAGCCCCCCAAACGGGTAAAAAATAAGATAGTAACGTACATTTTACCTTAAGAAATAAAATAGAAAACGCCCCCCCCCCCTGACCTGCCAGTGACACAAATGCGGCATCAAAATATTTGTGCTTATCTGACCGTAATTAAATGCCTAAAACCCTCTGAACCCCCCCCCCCCCACACCAATTTACGCTCGCTACCCTGTACCTGATCGTAAATACTTTAGCCCCCCCCCCCCACTTTGATAAACGTTCCGCGGGGCCTGTGTATATAATATATACGCATACAACAATGATCTTTATGATATCTTTAACATACCAGGCATATCTTCCTCTCCCCTTGCAAACGAGAAAGAAAACAAGGTCATTAAAAGGGATTAAGCGACAAAAAATGATTGTGATTCAAATTGATGCGAATATTTGTTTGAATAAGCACTGCTATTCACCCGAATCTTCTTTGTAAAAACAACTTTTACAAATCTCAGCCATGCTTACTGAGTTGAGACGTTCCATTCAATGTAAAATACTCATTAAAGAATACATTTCTCCTAATCTGAAAGTGATCTTACAACACAGTGGCAGACTTGCATGGCTGAGACTTGTAAAAGTCGTTTTTACAAAGAAGATTCTGGTGAAAAGCATTGCTTATTCAAAAAAAAAAATCCTTGCATCAATTTGAATCACAATTATTATTCGTCGCATGATCCTTTTATTAAATAACCTTGGTTTCTTTTTTGTTTGCAGGGGGAGAAGAAGCTATGTCACGTTAAGAAATCATAAAGATCAGTTGAATTATGCGTATATACATATGATACCAGGACAAAATGTTGGTTATCAGAATGTCATTTTGGAATACCTCTATACAAATACCACATTGTCTTTAGCCCGTATCAGTATTAGTATGAGCCAATATAAAGCTATTATTCTTTATTCAGTTCAGTATAATGATTTTCCTCAAAAATAGTTTTGCTATTTTTTTAGGGTTGAGACGCTAAGAAATGGTTTCAAATGTATATTACACAAACCCTGAACCATTGCAAAATGATGGTGGTTCCCTCTCTCTCTCTCTCTCTCTCTTTATTTTAATCATGCATTATCAACTACATATAAAGCAGCAACCAAAAACTTGGGGTTATCTGAGATAGGTGAAAGTAAGAGTTAAAAAGAAAGTTATGCTAAAACGGCATTTCATTCCCCCCCCCCTGAAAAAAATAAAATAGATTAGTAGTCCTCCTCTCCAGCATCCCCCCGCTTTAATATTCACCTGCCGGCTGAGTCGGCGCAAAAATGTTCCCAAAAAACTGGACCCCCCAAAAACAAATATATGTGCATTTATCCAGCCCCCTCACATGTGACGTCCTTTTAAGCACGTACTGGCAGTGCCTTAAAAGGACGTCACACGTTGCAGTCCACGTTCTCATCGTGCAAATCTAAAAGTCCCTAATATTGATTTACTGGTCGAGGTTCATTATTTGCTGGTCATTTGAAATCACCAGATTTCAGCGGGTTTACAACGAAAAACTTCTCCATGACCATGTTTCTGCCCTTGCGCGATCGCCTCCAGCTCCAGCAGACATGGCGCGGCAGCGTGCACACGTACCGACGGCGCAGTATAACCACTGCTGACGGCGGCACTGCACTGTAAGCTGAATCGGTAATAATTAATAGGCCTACTCATAGAACGGGAAATCTTGCACGCTAATATAAGTTCCGTTTCATTGGTTTAAGGTTTGAAAATTGAAACTAAATATTGTGCTAAAGTTATAACAGAAAAGATAATCTTTATTCTATAATTCCACGGGGGCGATTTTAAATTTTGCAATCGCCTCCGTGAGCAACCTGACGGGGGCGATTATGTAGCTCACGGGGGCGAATCGCCCACCGCCCCCGTGTATTTTGAGCGCTGCCTTGCAATCCAATTCAATCCACAGGAAATTTGCTCTAGCGCCTTTTCTTTGCAGGAAGCGCTGCATAGTTTGCTCCATAACGTAGAATAAGGACATCTTAAATTTTAAATCATTCTTTAATCCTTAACCGAACTCTCCCATCATAATGGTCAATCTATTGGCAATAACGGGACAACACATTCGAACATGTCAATTGTATTTGCAGTTGTATTTCTCAACCGATATTAGGCGTGAAGATTTTATTCTGTGAATATGTTAAGCAAAGTACGATATGTTTTAACGTCAAAGACATTATCATGAGGAGAGAGAGTTTGGATTAAAGAAAAATAAATAGTCGTGCCAAGCGTTGCTTATTTTGTGACGTAGTGCGTCAGCTTTTAGATCGTACAGACAGTGCATGCAAAGCGAACACTGCAAGCATTGGTTTAAATTATACTGGCATATGCTCTACCTGCCTTCAAGTTTGCTGAGCATAGGTTCATGTATGATAACGCAATCGAATTGATGTCTCGTGTTCAACAGGCGTAAGGATTAAAGTGAAATCAACTTAGGCGTTTGTTGAGTTCAAGGGATATAAGAAGTTCAAGTTCAAGATGAAGTTCATTTTATTATAAACCACACAAAACGTGATATAATCTTTTACATAAAAAATAAACTGGTAATATTACATTGATCAACATAGAAGATGCATGCTCTAAAAAGAATCCCAGTAGAATAGCCCCAATGCCTTGAATAAGTAATGCATTTCTAAAATAATCAAGTCACATCTATGCTGCTAGAAATTACTGTATCACCGGCCTTCATATACTTTATACTTGACTGATCTCTGAGAAGTGTCTAACTTTTGTTTTTAAGCTAGTGGCCCAAACATTGTGGATCGCGTGTACAGCGCTTTTGTAACTGCAAGGAAAAGGCGCTTTATCAAATATCTTTTGAATTGGATTGGATTGGAAATTAATACCCGTTATGACCGTTCCGTACGAGGCGTCATTTGGACTGCGCTATTACCTGCGCTAATAAATCATATACGGACAATTAGCGCATACGCCAGTAATTCAGCGCGATGTGTGCACTGTTCTTTTCACTCGTATGCTTTGTACAACGTCCCTGTCACACGGTGCGTCAAAAATCACGCCAGTCAGAGACGCAGTCCTACGTCAGGAAATGACGCATCGTGTGCGATGCACATAATAATCATGCTCTCTACTCTCCCCAGGATGGCAAAGGTACAGATGGCTCTGTGACGACCGATCAGACTCAGAAACAAGCTCCTGGCGAGGATGATCGGATGAAGAAAGAATTGAAGAAAATTCGGAGCCAAAATAAAGAGGTATTCAACAATAGTGTATCTGGGGCATTTTGAATAGGGTGCATAGCTGCATGCCAAATTTTCCGACAACACATTCCAACGAAAAAAAAGCAAAGAATGAAAATAAATTGCCAATCAGCCCACAGAAAAACACGTCAAGGGCTCCTTCGTATATAAAGAGTTGTGATTGATTCGAATCGATGGCAACTTCAAATTCTCATTCTTATTCTTATTTCTTAAGTAAATAGTTGCGATTAATTCTTAAGTTGCGAATCGTTTGCATCAATTGCAACTCTTTATAATACAGGGCCCTGATCTTGATGTTTGCCGACACAATTCTGTATTTCTGACAACAACAAAATAATTGCTGTCAACCGTCTGAAACCCATTCCCTCTCTAGCAGCGACTTTAATATTTACACATACACCATAGTCATAAGTTTTTTATGCAGTTGCTATAAATATTATTGCATTAATGTGTTATTCTACTAGTACTAGCGTATGCATGGTTTAGTCTGGAGAAGGCTAACAAGAGGGATTTTGATTCGACTTCTTCTAAAAAAAATACATTCGGGAACTAAAAAAAAGTTACTACGACATTGTGTTGATCTAGTCTTTAAAATACGGAATGAGGAAACGATTCTTTTATTTTTTAAATTCACTTCACACGATGTACACTTACCCATCAACAATTTTGGACTATTGAATGAAGCAATATTCAAAGAGTGACGTCTTCCAAAATTGGTACCATTGTTACTTCTTCATGCAACTATTCATCTTTACAATGGACTCCCTTTTCATGGTTTTTCTTTTGTTAATCCTTTGCTATTTTCGCTGTTCCCTTTTCCCTTTTCTGTTGATCCCCATTTCTGGTTTTATTGATAAAACGATGAAGAAAAAAAAGTGACATACTTTATAACGTCGAAGATTCGTTCAGACAACAAAAGCTGCACCAATGAAGGCCCCTTTTTTGTATAGGGGGGGGGGCATTAGCTTCCCTCCGTCACTTGTTTACTAGATCAGGTGACACCACTGCAGACAGCTAACTAGAATCATGAGAATTTTGGGAGGTTTTGGTGTAGGATAAAATGTGCCAAGTATTATCAGGAAAGCATAGGTATGCCCCCTCGTGACACTCAGAAATATCCTCAGATACTAGAACTTGCCGACAAGGTTATAATTTTTTTAAAGCGTATTTTTTGTATAGATAATAATGGGGTTTACCAATAAATGTTCTGAGTGGAGCTGAGAGGTGAGGATATTGCACTACTGATACATTGAAGAATGGGTGATAAGGGGCGTTGTTCGAGTTTCATTCGGGACTCACAGATTTGCACGACGACATAGTATCTGCTACGTGTGACGTCCTTTTAAGGCACTGTGACGTCCTTTTAAAGGGATCGTTTATTAACAATGTTAAATCTGAGATGCACGGCCCTACGTGTTATCAGTGTCTGTGATATGGTGTTATATTGGAGCCCTAAAAAAAGCGCTTCAAAATGATTAAGAAGTCCCTCAAAAAAGTAAAAACCCCTGAGTGACCCGTTTTACCATATTCGTTTTCCCCGATAGACTGTAGTGTTATGAAAACCGTTTTGTAAACTCAAAATGTGATTTCGATTTTCAATCGTAAATATCTTGATAATCAGACAGGCGATCGGCTTGTAAAAGTCATTAGGTTCCTGGCTGAACTAAAGGTTTATAATTATCATTGCAGCATGAGCTAAATCAAGCATTTTTAAAGGATCTAAGACAAAGTTACCGGATCCCTTTAAGGCACTACCAGCGCCTAAAAAGAGACATCACACGTAGCAGTCCACTAGGCCTATGTCGACATGCAAATCTAAAAATCCCGAATGTGAGCCCAAAGACGCCACACCAATTCAGTTCATCCAATAAATTTCCAAATTGTTCGCCATCTTTTTCTTCAATGTGTCCATAGCTTCAGCGCGTGAACCATTCCTGGGAGAAGTACGGCCAGAATCTATCCGCCAAGCACCAGATCGAACTGAAGAAGAAATCTGCCCAACTGGCTGCTTCGGACGAACGTCGTAAGGATCTCGAGAAACGATTGGATGAGAAGTTCAAAGAATACGACCAGACGCTTATTCATGTCAGGCAATCTGAGGGACAGCAGAAGGTATTACCGCATTCATACCTCAGTAGGCATGTTTTCATCAGCTCGAGATTGCCAAACATATTGCTCCGATTGTCTCATTTTCGCTCGCGTGAACATTGCCAGCACAAACCACTGACCTCTACCTCCTGAACGGATCATCGCCCATTCCCATTCACTATACGTTACGTACTAAAAGGCTGTATTGTCTGACCGTTCATGAATATTCATGTTTTTGCTAAACTCGGCAAAATGTTTGCTTTTACTAAATGGAAAAATTACGGTGGGGGGTTGGATGAAATGGACATAATGAAATAGGCAGAAGTGATCTATGATAATTCATGCGTTTTAAGTTTCGTGTGCTCGACCTATAATCTTCAAATCGCTTGGTAAACTGAGTCCAAAGTTAGACTTGTTTCACATGTGTATTATAGGCAATGACGAGCTTGCAACCTATTTTGAAAAATTACGGTGGGTGAACTTTCAAAAGTCAATGAGACATGAGGGCTCAAATGAAAGAGCTAGTGATAACGTACGTCGGGGTGGATGTGCTTTTCGTTTAAACAAAAAATGAATTTTTAACGATTTTTAAAAAAACGTCCATAGGCTAACATGTTAGGCTGCTGACGCTGACCATGCTCTGACGATAGGGGGCGTCGTGAAATGAGACTAAACGGAGCCATATGATAACCCGCTATTTAAACTATCCCTATCGCAAATTATCCAGCTAATTTGCGTCTTCATCAGCCCGCAATTGCAATAAGCGGGATATTTGGTCGAGATAATCTTGGACTAGTTTGCAAAATATATATATAGATTGTCCGATGGGTTTTCACCAGCCCGAAGACTCGCACTATGCGCTACCGCTGAGCAAAATATCTCGAGCTAATTTTTCGAGCTCGAGTCTCGAGCTGATGAAGTCGCGATTTGTAACTTCGGGCGTTTTTTCCCCAAATCAGAAAGAGCGGGCTATTGAGCAATCTCGAGCTGATGAGGACATACCTAATCAGACTGCCGAATCGACTCCAACCCGACCCCAAACCGACAAATGTTAATGGAATAATTCTTTACCATTCGGGGTAATGCAATTTTTGTTGGTCTTGTCTGTCGTCGGTCTAGTGTCGGTCTCCTTGGTGTGACTGAGGTATCACGGTTGCATGACACTTGACCTTTCAACTTCCGGTCCGCATCATTTTTCCCATATACTAACCGATTTTTACAAGAACTCTTGATTCGACACCAGGGCTTAAATTAATCCAAGGCCACCAAGGCCATGGCCTTGGATGCCCTTTTGATTGGCCTCAATGCCCCTCTCATTGGCCTTGGAGATTTTGCGTGCCCTTTCCAATTCTTCCTATTTGTGCTGTAATATAGGAATGTGCCCTACAGAAAAGTGGCCTTGCCCTAAAAATATTGAAATTTAAGGCCTGCGACACTATACCTAACCCTAAACCTATCTTAAAACCCATTTACAATCCCCTTTTTTACATTTTAAACAATTAATTTCTCTCCTTTTTTCATTTTTAAGAATTAAATCTCAATTCTTTGCCTTTCTTCTCTTTCCACCTTTTCATACTTTAAACAATAACTTTCTATATTTTAGTTTTTTAATTATGCAATAAGAAAACCACTTTGCAGTCAAAATATCCCGATGAAAAAAACTCTTCTGATAACTCCTCCTAAAACCTTTGCCTCATCACGAATGTAGGCTGCTGCTGAGCAGTACAAGAAAGACCGGGATGCCCTCGGAAAGAAATATGGCGACTTGACAACCAAACTGCGTGAATGGATCAAGGAGAAAGAGGATAAAGACAATGAAATCAAGCGACTCAACAAGGTATTTATTTTAAGATAATCTTGAACTCTGGTAAAGATTTTGAAAATATTAACTTCACAGAATCCAACGAAACTTACAATGCAAGTTCAAGATTACAAATTATTGACATGTGCCAAACGATTTTGGAAGAAATTGTTTTAGGGGCTCAGTAGTGAGCATAGAAAAAGTCAAATTTAGTAAGTCTGACACCATGTGCTTAACAATAACACAGGTTACTATGTTTAAATGGATTTTATTGAAGATGATTTCCAGCAAGATTTTGTAGGTTTTATTTTATTTTACTGGTTCAAACAGCCAATCTACTGCAGGATAAAGCAATCCAGAATGAATCATATCTGGACATACAATTTCCATACCAGAGCTAAAGACTAGCCTTAAATAGAAATAGGCGTATGGATACAATTTTCAAGGGAGAGAGTAGCGTCTCGAATATTTATTTCAATTTTATTACGTTGAAAACGTGCGTTCATCTCCACGTCGTCGTCCGAATTGTGAAGTTTGGTGACAAACCCCCTCTGTAAACAATGATCTCAGAATATGATATCGTATTTGTCTGAAAACTTAATATGCGTGCAAGCACAATCCATCAGGGGGTGAAATTTCGTTAAAAAAATTACAATTTAATAAGGCGAAATTGTTAATTTGATTGCCCGAATATGAAGTTTGGTGAAATACCCCCACCCTCCAAAAAAAAATGGTTCTTATGATGAACAACGTGCATTTTTGCCTTAAACGGTAAAAGGTGTACGGACACAATTTATTAAGGAATGTGGATTAACTTCTCGCTTTTTTGACATTTTATATTACCCTGAAAATGTGCAACACAATGTCATAATATTAGATATATCGCCCCCACTCCCACCCTCCCGTAGACAAATCTGCCTTCACATCTTAGCCTATGATGTGAGACCGTGATGACAACAATCAACAATTTTACCTTGTGTCACCTTAACTCAATGTTCAAGTGTGCAATTAGTAGGTGAATACGTTTAATTGGAATACATTTGAAGGGGTGTAGATCATGAATGTTCTTTACAAATTTTCCGTTATTTAAATCGTCAACGGTAGATTAACATCCACATGGCGCAAAATAAATTATGAACTGGGGCACGTGTCATGAAGCATTGCACCATCACTGCCCACACAGAATGAACATTGAAGATTGGGAAATTGGGAAACATCAAAACAGAGCATGAGAACTAAAAGATGTCAAAACCCAGCTACTTCTCTTCCAAATTGAAGAACGTTTCCGTTTTCTTTCCATAGGTTGTGGAACGACAGGCCGCACAGAAACCAATTTACGCCAATGCGTATGCCGAAGAAGAATTGGGATGCACTGGTCACACCAAAGCCGCCAGGAAGTTTCCCCGGGAGGTGGTAAACGTTACGGCCGCTACCCTCTACCCGAATCTGGATGACGATGTGGTGGTGGTGATCGGGAAGGAAAAACAGGTGAGAGAGTCGACGTCACCGCGTCCGAGATCGCCCCGCTCACCGCCCCGGTCACCCCCGGCAGAACCCCAACGCAACCCCATGACTTTAGGAAAGGAGGAACTCAAGGGCCAGATGGAACTCTATCGTCAACAGGTAAGAATCTATACTTTTGCTCCTTTTGTCAACATGTTCAATTTGTTCACCAACATGTAATTTATTTTCACCTTCAACGAGGCTTATTGATGATTTTAAAGACTGTAAATATAGTGCATGATCGGGCCCTTTTAGGTCTCGGTTAAGTAACGACATTTTCAGACAAAATTAATATCAGAAACCAAAAGAAATTATTAAAAAATATCTACAACTAATGAAATAAAAATGTTGGGAAGAATTAATCATTTAAAAACACGAGGTTGACTATGGATAAAACACGGATACTGTATATGAAAGTCTTATTTTAAACGCTCAAATCGGCCAAAGATTCCCAACTTTTTAAAAAGACATCACTGAAGTTAAATTACAAGGATTCAGAGAAGAGATAAACTGACCTTGCTGTTAGTGAGCCTCTCCTTTGAAGCAAACGTCCTTTGAAGGGAGACGTCAGGTGTCATTCTGTAGTGTAGAGGAAATACAAATGGCAACGAAAGCGACTTCGAACCCGTGGATGATGAGGAGATCGTGAATGCAGAAGACGATGATAAGCAAGGCGTGTTCATTGGTGATTGGAAAGGAGGTTTCTGGCGTGATATCAGTGGGAAAGATACGAACTTCGTCTCCATAGATGATCACGATTTCATGAACGCCTTAGACGGATAAAAGCAAGGCGTGTTAATTGGTGATTGGAGAGGAGGTTTCCGGCGTGATATCGTAGAAGAAATACGTACTTGGCAAAGATACCGACTTCGTCTCCGTAGATGATCACGATTTCATGAACGCATAAGACGGAGATTAGCAAGGCGTGTTCATTGGTGATTGGAGAAGAGGTGTCTGACGTCATATCGTGTAAAGAAATACAGTGGGAAAGATACCGACTTCGTCTCCGTAGATGATCACGATTTACTGGACGCATTAGATATTAAATATTACCAAGGCATGTTCATTGGAGATTGATGAAGATGTGTCGGGCGTGTTATCGTAGAAGAAATACAGTGGCATAGGATCCGACTTCGTCTCCGCGAATGTTTACAAGATCATTGACGCAAAATGCGGACAATGAATGAAGAAAAGTCGTTGGAGAGAAGATGTCGGGCGTCATTCCGTATAGGAAATACTATGGCAAAGACACCGACTTCATGCACGTGGATGAACACGAGATCATGAACGTATGATGTGGACATTGAATGAATAAAAAAGAGTAATTGGAGAGGAGATGTCGGGCGTTTTTCCGTAAAGGAAATAAAAAAAAATGACAAAGAAACCGAGTATGACCACTCGGAATTGTTTGATAAGTTGATAAACGTAGATGTACCGTGAAAACGGCATGAAACGTAAAAGAACAGCGACGAAATGGCAGGAGCTATAGTTGTAGCAAAGAGCCGGCGTGAAGAGGCGTTGTAGATGATGGAACCCCGTCAAACCCCATGAGAACGGGAAGAACGACAAGAACGGCGATGAACGGCGAGGAATGACGAGTACGACGAGTACGGCGGGGAACGGCGAGTAACGGTCAAGAAATGGCAAATCGTATGACAACGCGATGAAAGACAGTTGAGGGTCAAGAGCATTGAGATATGGTCGATACAGATTTATCTATTGTGAGAAAAAACGGCTGAGAACGAAAAAAGACAGCCAAAGAGTAAACGAAAAGAATATATCTAGAATGTTTTAAAGCTTCCATGTTTCTTTTCTGTCGCATTTGTGAAAGATGCGAGCCTGAATTTGCTTAAATCAAATCATGTTATCTCAGAGTTCCAGAGTTTGCGCCTCATAATGAAGAAGATGTATTCATAATATCGTTAATATATAGTCGGAAGAGTCCGAATATTATCTCTTTCAAGAAATAAAATCCTTTATCGCGAAATAAAAACAAAGTACAGCGATTGATAGCCGTAATACATCTCTAACCAACGCGATTGCCTTGGAGTTCAGGCAACACGTCGGAGTGGAGACTACATTAATGCCTCATCTATCACGTAAAAGAAATGAGCTAACACGCATGCAGGCATCATTATATAAACTTTAAAATCTTGGAAAATCCTTCCAATTAAAGTGGAAAAAACATAAACCAAGGAACAACATTAGTGTATCGCATAAATAAATTTAGTTGACACGCCTGCATTCATCTCTTATGCCTAATATGATGAAGAGATTATTACGAAATCATCCAAATTCAAGGGAAATTATCATCAAATGAACTAACGAACCAAGACTCAAAATGAGTAATTCGTCATGATTTTTGGTATCTTTAGCGTTTTGATATTACTAGACACTTTATCAAATTATTACGAAGTTCTTGGTGGTGATGAGATCAGACCCATTATTCTTGCGTGTGGGGATTTTGTTTTTGTCTTTGGCGTTTCAACTCAACTTCTAGCTCGATTTTCAATATGCGTATGAACTCCTGGCATCCTCATCTGTTTGTACAAGTGCGTTTCCGTTGATACTTTTTTTATGATAATCATTGCATCATTATTATAAAGGTGCGGGTTATAGAGATAGTAAGGAATGGACTGGTATTTTTTTAGTAGAAATTAAATTCAACATTCAATTTTGGATATAGAAAACTAAAGGTTGATTTGATTCATATAATTAAACACTATTTACTAAGCTTGCAGTATAATTATCAAAGGGATAGTGCTCTACAGCTCGACTTTGATAAGTGTTTTATAAACGAAAGAAAAAATGTATATTAAAGGTACTATGTCCCATTTGCAGGCCAAAAAAATGAAAAAGTTAAATTCCAACTGCATTTGAAAGATTATTGATGTAGACAAATGCTCATGCACCCTTTACAACTCTTTTCATGTATGTTATTACCAAAGAAGAAAAAAAAGCCAGTCAGTCACTCAATAGTGTCTGACAGTGAAGTCTAGCAAGTAAACGGGTTTCCTTGCATAATTTGAATATGAGGACACTGCTAAAGTTTAAATTTCACAGATAGGACATACATGACATGTTCATAATTCCTGCAAAGTTCTACAGCATTTGAGGTTGGGTGCAAAAGGGACATAGTACCTTTAAAGAAATAAAACATAATGACGTAGGAATGGAAGACCACGTGACGAAGCTTGAAGCTGCAGAGATTAGATGTCTGAGATGAGTGACAGGTGTAAGAAAGGAGGTGAAACGATGAGGAACATAAGGAATCGAAGGGATGGGCTGCTGGGGTACGCCCCTCATGTTGTAAGGCCAAGAAACATTCTAGCACTGTCCAAGTTGATTTCAATCAAAGTTAAAGACCTAAAAAGATTAAGATTTATACAAAGAACGACATTTACAAAAACTATTTCCACTCTTTATTTCATTTGATGTTATGGGAATCACCCAATCTTCAGAATGCAAATGCATGCAAACTACCTATACTGTCATCATCGGCATTACAACATCGCCGGCAACATCGGAACTGAATGATTATGTCATTAAAAAATCACCCATCTGGTAATTTTAGTCGCAGGAAAGTCCCGAATCGTCGCTCTTATTTCAAAATTAGATGCTCCATTATCACAACACCGCGATAACCAACGCCCTTTCGCATGAATATTTCATCATCCCCATCGTCACGTTTTCATTTCCACGTTGATGTAAACCGAACAACTTTACATCAAGTAACATAAATAAGAAGTTTGTAAGACCATTATAAAAAAAATCTTCCATTAATCGTTACAATTTGTTCACTGCCGTTTCTCCATACTACTACAGCATTATAAGCAATAACTAACTGAAATGATTGCTAACCCTATAATTACATTGCGTTATAAAATTATGATTGTTTGTTAGAGGCCTATGTAGCTGCTAAGATTTTCTTGTTCTTTTTTATTTTCCTTTTCTAACTGATTATACTACACTTGTCAGTAATTGTTGTAGATCCACCTATATCCATCGATGTATTTTTCCTCAAAATGTATGCATTTCTCCCCACCCCCCCTCTCTTTCCGTTTCTCCCCTAATGATTTTTTTTCCTATTTATGTTATTTCTAGGACCATCATGTAACACAACCTGAGAGCTAATCAATGTTATCCTGTTGAAAGATGTTTTAATAAATAGATACATAAATTAATATTACCAGAGGCGGATCCAGGATCTAGTAAAACAAGGGGCACATTCCTAAATCTGCTGACAAGCAAAATAAAAGAAAAACAAGAGGAATACATATGATAGAACAGTAGAAGTTGTAGTAGTGGTAGTAATAGTGATGGTGGTGGTAGTAGTAGTATTAGTAGTATTAGTAGTAGTAGTAGTAGTAGTAGCAGCAGTATAAGTAGTATAGTAGATGAAGAAGAAAAAGAAGAAGTAGGAATAAAATAAAGATAAAAAAGGCGGCACAAAAGTTATTTTGGTCACAACGTGGGAATCGTGTAATGAAAGTTTGTCACTTGGGTCTCAAGGGGGGGGGGGCATGGACCGGATAGGCCCCGACTATAATCTGCCACTTCATAATCCTAAAGACACAGCACACACTAAAAGAAATGATGTAAATGTGATGTATGGGGCTAATTAATATCAACAGAAACCGGAGAATACCGATTGTTAATGTTATTGAATTGAATTGAATTGAATTGATTTATTGTCCATAATATGGAAATTCATTGTTCACTGGTACAATTGTGTGTTACAAGGAAATGTACAAAATTAAATAGATTATAAAACATAATAACAACATAACATCAATGGCTTCTTTGGTCTTTGACAAGATTGTTTTATGTTAAACTGTTTGGCATGCAGAGAGGGCGGGGAAGAGATATATAAATACAGTCATACGCTAAATTTCATATATTGTCCACTTTAATCGTAACATTTGATTAAATGTCATTTTGTTAATAATACATTTTAAAACTACTGGTCTAATATGACTTATATAGAGATGAACTGAGCATGACATGCGGCATTTATTAATTTAGAGCCCTTTTTCAGTTTTGATTATCATAATAACCATATCAGGCTCATTTTCATTGAATATACAGTTATATTAGGCATTAAAATCATTATGATTGTTAAGAATATAATATTACTGCTAACCAACCGGCAGAAAGAAATAACTGCCCAACTCATATCTAGACAACAAACAATAAATAGACAAGTAATTTTTCTGGTAAATTTTAGTTTTGTAAAAGCATTCATGATTATGGATGTGTTCTAACAAACACAATCGTATGTACGCAGTATAAATGGGCGGGGGTGCTTGCTGTACATACACAAATATACGGTTTGTTATTCGCGTTGACTAAAACTCAGTGCATTTGTAAATAGACTTGTGTTTGTATACTGCCAGTCATGGGCGATAGGAAAACAACCAAATGGGATTCCCCTGGTTATAAGTGGAGGCTACATCACCATATGTTTATTGAGTTAACCGTATTTCCAGTCTTGTGACTTACCATGACGTAAATACATGACGATATTACTGGGAATACAATAATAGATCCAGCATACGGGCATATAGGTTTCAGCTGCTATTTACATCACGAATTTTGATATTCACTGATCTCAAGGTTTACTTGTTTGTGTATATCAGGAAACGTAGCTCGCATATTGCCTGAATATTTTGGTGTTTACAAAACAGAAGTCTACCATAACATTATTTGAAGAAAATAAAAATCATGTACAATACATACGGGAACAATATGAATATTGATAAGCCTTTTCAAATGTGCATTATTTCAAAAGAGATTTAAATGAATTATTCAGAAAAAAGATCAACGGTAAGACATATTAATACATTTGGTTGACCCTATAGCTGCTTTTGGAGACAAACACATGTGGGTAAATTATGAGAATATGTTGGTTAAAAACTTATGAAATAACGAACAAAAAAGAAACTTATACCCTTAGAAATAGCATAAAAGTTATAAAGCATTATACTATTTTTATGAAATAGATTCTTTGAATCATATTTGTATCACTTATCATCCGTTGGAATGTCAATGTTTTACTTTGGCTTTTGCCTTTTTTTGTGGTTAGTTGAATTTGTCGCATTAAAGATGAAGTTGAGTTCTGGTCATGCGATTGCATTGTGAAAGAAACGGTGTGGAATCGACCAGAAAAGGTTGATCATCTAGCATATAAGTATTTGTGTGTATTGCAAGGTTCTGGAAACATCAAAATGATAAGAAATTTGGCCAAGTCGTAGTAAAGTTGCAAGCACTGTACACATAAAGATGTATAGGGGACTACACGAACATGTGGCGTAAAAATCCGTCCCGATTTTTACGATGTTACATGCCATATTTATAATATGAAGGCATTTGAAGAGCCATTGTTTTTCAGGGAACATGGTTTATCTGTTGTTCTTCCACATTTGGATAATAACAATGATAACGCTTACAAATTATTTTCCACCTCTTCCGAGAACTCAACCTTATCTTTAATTCATATTTTAATTCAAATTTATAATAACCAAACCTTTACAAAGTATTACCCCCCCAAAATGTAATTATATATCCTACGTCTGATGGCTCGTGATTATCCTGTACAAGGAACGAAATCGTGTTTTTGTTTACGCCTGACATTTACATAATTTTGCACAAAATGTCAACCATGCCAATCAAAATTCCATCCTACGTATTGATTACTAAAGCAAAATTGGTATTGTGCAAACTCTGTTTAGTTGGGGAATTTCCGTGTCAGTATAGGTCATATTAGGGACTTGTAGATTCTGCACGAACAGAACGTGAACTGCCCTTTTAAGGCAATGTGACGTCACTGCCAGTGTCTTAAAAGGACGTCACATCGCCTTAAAAGATCAGTCCACGTTCTCCGTTGTGCAAATCTAAAAGTCCCTAGTGCCTGCAATGTGAGACTACGATAGGCTGTGAACACTTTATCTGCTTTGAAACTGAAACTGAAATATCCAGGCTCTGCTCAAGGCTTTCAGAATCGTGGTGACAGTGTCAAATTAGAGTCTGTGTTTGAAGACTAATATTGACCGGTGTCAACACACCCGCGTATAACACGTAAACTCAATGTGCCTCTTAATTCAAGGACTTTTAATTCCATCGATCCTGTAATTTTAGCTTCAGCATCAACTTCCTTTGATACCCTATCAAAACGGGTTTCCAAGAAAAACAAAATACTCGCTGCAAAAAAAAGAAAAGATTTTGACAAAAGTACCGTTTTCCCATTCAGGTTCAAGTGCATTTGCTTCCAAATTATGTCCTGTATCAAAATACATAACAACAATATTTACAAAAAACATTACAAAATATATGAATATAAATCCTGGTATGACAAATATCATGCAAAAAGGAAGTTATATAACATACGTTTTACAATCGTCATTAAAAAAATAATCAAATTGATCAGAAACTCGATCCTGATTGTAATGCAGTTTTATTACGAAAAGACGGTGGATTTTCTCTCTATAGGGCATGACCCGAGAAAAATAATTTTGTGTAATCATGTTCAATGTAGTGGTTATTCTTTATTTAATGACACTCGGCATGTACGTTTGGTCCAAACAGGGAAACCTTCCAATAACAGGAAAGGATAATAATTTTAGTACACGTTTGACTGGTTAGGAAATAATGGGATGTCAATGATTTACGAAGTGAGTCTGGCTAAAAATAAAGAGAAAATCGAGGCTGAACAAGAAAATGAAATAATTAGACATTTAATTATTTTTATTTGTATTTATTTATTTATTTCTAATCTTTTGTCAGGGTAGCCCATTCACCAATAAAAAGTGGTCTCCCATTGGGGCCCTGAATAAACCTTAACATATTTACATTAAAAAACATAACGATTATACAGAACAGTTAAATAAAATTCCATAGTACATTTAGAAAGATACAACACAGAAATATTAGACGTGGCACAATCGAATACTCACTTTCTAAATAATCATATATCATTAAGCTATTTCAACTGTAAAGTCAATAGAAATATATTGATTACGTCGCAATTATGTGAATAAATCATGTTAATATTACAGAACATGCACGTAGTGTATGTTTGGCTGAGCTATTCACAAATTACAACTTTTTTTTAAACAATTGATCTGTTACTCTTTTTTTGTTTTAATCATAACAGATTGATATTTTCCGGACTGATTTCATCCAAGAAAGGCGTGATCGAGAGAAGGCAGCCGGACAGGTCGATACGTTGAAGAAAGAGCTGGAAAAAACCAAGAAGAAGCTGGAAGAAATGCAAAAGGTGAGGTCTACAAGTATACTATGTTATGTGATGGGGGAGTAAAACATGTAAGCAATTGACCACTGTGTAAAATCCGTGAGTTTTTGGTTTGGAATGTGCGTAATCTGCAAACGAGCTTTAGAGGGAACTAAGGTGATTATTGCTAGCTCGTTATTTTCAAAATGGCTCAATTTGGGCGATGATGTACAAACTACCTTTAAATTCAATGGGGAAGACAATGTAGGTGTATATTTTGTAATTCTACAAATTAAAAGTAATCTATATCCCCAGAAGAAAGAATAAAAGGGGTGTATGATGACATAATAATAATAATAATAATAATAATAATAATAATAATAATAATAATAATAATAATAATAATAATAATAATAATAATAATAATAATAATAATAATAATAATATTTAATATTTAATATTTAATTTTTATGAAAAGCCACCCCAATATCCCTTGACGAAAGTATTATTAATGCCATGCTCGAACATATTCTTATAATATTTAGAGTTCCATTTGAACTTAATTTAACGTGATTTTTCGTTCTTTTGATGAACATTTTGTTGTCGTTTGATTTTTATCAGAACCGATTGGAGCATGATTTGTACGGACTCGGCCAAGACTTCGTGCCGAGAAGGCCACGTGAGGAAACACAGGTAATTTTCTTTGACAATTTAATCACCATTTTGATCGCAATAACTATTGAGTCTTATTCCCCCCATGGTAGCCAAATCAGTATTAATATTACTAATACTACTATGTACATTTGTGCATTGTGTCGATGTCATGTGTTCTCCATATTTTTCACCGATTGTGAATGTATTCATTTCTAATTTCAAAGTCCTGCTTTTGACGTCTTTTTATACATGATTGTAATGTTATACGCAATATGTAAAATCCCACAGTGAATTTCCATGTCACAATTGGACGATAATTTAAGATTTTATTATCTTACTTCTTTATTGGTATTTGTTTTGTTATTTTTGTTTTGTTGTTGTTTAATTCAAGTTTGTATTGTTATTTCAAAATTGAAATATCTGACCAAGAGTTCATAGTGATCAATCGTAGACCTATCTAAGGACGAAATAAAATTGAATTAAATTGAATTGAATTGAATACTGCTCTTCTCGGATGCAATGTAAACATTATTAACCCAGCATTGACAATTACCCTTTTAATAAACATTGACCGAGTGGGTCAGTTGGTTAACGACAATTTCTCACATCGTAAATTATTATTCAATAATTATCTTCGCACCATAACTTGAGTTGGCCTAAGAGGGATCATTGGTAATACGAAAATTGGTGGCGGCTTCCCCCATGATCATCACGGCTGCATGCCCTAACTTTAGAGCAGCAAATTACAATAATGACAACATTAATATTCCGTACTATAAACAAAAGAATTCTTATTATATTTTTGTTCAATCTTGCTAGAAGGTGCGAGGAGGAAGAAACTTAGGCTATGGGAGACAGTATGCCTACCAGCAGCAGTACGTGGATCTAGAGGACGTAAGTTAGAACTTTCTTCTTTTTTTGTTCTTTGTTGAAAGTCTTGCCCCTTCTGCCCAAAATGCCCAAAGAACTACAAGCGATTGAAAACGACGATAAGCCGAAAATGATGCTTGGTCTCTTTTCATAATTTTTATCTCTCGCGTTAGTTACAATGAAATATCTTTACAGACTGGAAGAATTTACATGATTATAGTTCAAATGATTCAAATCATTTTATTTATCATGCAAAACATAATACAATGAATAATTATATTACAAAAATATGCTGAAACGACAAATATAATAGAAAAGGCACGAGAAATGAGGAACGAACTGGAAGCAGAGCTTGTTGAAGTGTTAGTTCCTCAGATGCTGTTTTACAATAAAACATGAACAAACTATGCTTAGAAAATCAATAAATAGAATAAATATGTAGCTCAGAAATTATAGATTTTTGGGGGATAATAATAAAAGAGAGGAAAAATGGATGAAAATAGTAGAAGGCAAAATGAAAGAAAGATACAAACAAAAGGGAAAATGAATGATTGCAAAAGCTCAAGAAAAAGGAGGTTAGATCAGTAAAAAGAGGGAGAAAGAGATTGGGTCGAGAGTCAAACGAACCGAGATTCATGTCTTTGAGTTTACAAATTTTAATCTTTAGCTTTAAAAAAAAATGTGTATAGACTGGTACTTTGTTTAAGAGATGGATCAATGCTATTCCAAAATACTGGACCGGTGTAAATAATTATTTTTGTTGTGCGAAGCTATTCTCATTCGAGGAGTGTGGAAGTGGTTCGACTGTCCAGTGGGGTTTGAATGTTTCTTGTTATTTCTTTGAAAAATTGAGGAATTCGGTAGAGTTAACTCGTTATTAATAATTATTTAACAATAACAAAGTGCATTACGCCGTGATTTTGTTTTGGGAAGAAATTCCCCTTTTTCTTTCATTTTCGGCTCCCCCTCTCTGTCTTCTCTACCCCAGCCCCTCCCCTTTCTCTCTCCCTCCCTTCTGATGATGCGTTACCAGGTGTATTATGCCTTTTGAACAAGAGACGTCATTTCGGTCCCGTTAGCCCATACCAGTGGCGGATCGAGGGGGGGGGGGGGGGGGGGGGGGGGTTATTACATTTGTGGGCGTTTTTGTTTTGGGAAGAAATTCCCCTTTTTCTTTCATTTTCGGCTCCCCCTCTCTGTCTTCTCTACCCCAGCCCCTCCCCTTTCTCTCTCCCTCCCTTCTGATGATGCGTTACCAGGTGTATTATGCCTTTTGAACAAGAGACGTCATTTTGGTCCCGTTAGCCCATACCAGTGGCGGATCGAGGGGGGGGGGGGGGGGGTTATTACATTTGTGGGCGTTATTACATTTGTGGGTGTAACAGGCCCCCTCCCCTAAGAAATCCTGGATCCGCGCCTGGCCCATACACCGGTAATTTAACACAATGTTTTAATTGTTCATTTTGCATTCACTTTGATTGTGATGTCATTCTTAAACGTTTCGTCAAAGACTACTCTGACGCGGTAATCCGTGAGCAAAAAATTAGTGTGTGCAAAAGGCCTGACGATAAGATAAAATTTATCAGTTTCATTTGTTATATTATATTTATTTTCCCCCCAAATTATTTTCTCTTTCATTATGTTTCTTCTCACTGCATTATAGAACCACGTATACTCTGTGATCGATAACTAGCGAGTGAAAACACCGCGTAGCAGAGTCTCCAACCCCTTCAAAGTAGTGATCGACCACTCTTTCCCTTTCGAGTACGCACACGGCCAGGGATATGGGGGCGACCATGCAGCGCGCCGGGAAAGTTCCAGAGCCACGCTTCATCTCCTATTGGAAAAGGGCTTTGTAGAAACCCTCATTACGGCACTGTCGCCGTTGGCCTTGTGTAGTTTATGTTCCAACTTACATGGTGTTCGTAGATACGAACCGAATGAGTTGCGCCAAACGTACGATTTTCGACGATGTTTCAAGGCAGAACGCCATTGTTCACTTATTACGATATTAATGACCTTACGAGAATTCCGATATAGTATATTTAAACATACGTTGTTATGACATAAACACACAAATAACATCCCCATTATATCCTAAGTCATTCTATCAATGCTTACGAATGTAGAAGTAACATAAATCCTAGCAAGAGAACTAGGAATATTTATCCTAAATGTTATTCGACATAACTCTTATTTAACGAGAAAGTAAACGCTATATTGAACGCGTGACGTGATATTAATATATTTGTATCTACAAACATTTGCATAAGGTGTCAGAAAACTATGTTCATCGCCTTTCCTGTATCTTTATGATCTAGTTTGATTTCATCATCATTGTAATATTTAACGATATACAGGTAGTATTATGATATAAATTTATATTTTCTTCTCGCTCCAATCAGATCTATTTTTCTTGTGGGATCTCTTTGCTGTATATGTCAATAATGGGAGTACCCCTTTCTTCCAAATCGTAGAAATGCAAAGCATATCGACAACGACTTTAAAAAGGGCTGTATAAGTTACAAAAAACATACATAAGTTATACATATTATTAAGACGATGTTTGAATATTCAATATAGCATATATATTCATTAAACAAACAAACAAACAAACAAACATAAGTTATACATATATATATTAAGAAGGTGTTCGGATCTTTAGTTTTGTCGGGATAATCATTGGCCTTCGGGCAATGATCTTTTAATACTTAATATTTGGCGCAGCCATATATGGCTTTTCCGAAAAATACACGAATGAAATCTGTTTTTATGAATATTATATTTAGAGATTTTGATTTATTTCCAGAGATTTCTGGGGAATTGCATCGCGTTTTAATATTTTGATGGCCAAGAATGTCATGTTCCTAAACACGCTTCGCGAAGGTCATAGGAAAACCACATTCTTGGCAATTACAAATATGTTTGTATTCCTTCAACTGCAGGACTTATTGTTCTTGGTACCATCCTCATCTCATTGTTTTTTATTTAGTATATACCTATATTTGGTTTATTGATGTTTTTTTTAATTGTTGTTATTGTTCATCGTTTATTAGAAATGCGAAGATGATGAGGATGGTATTATTCACAAGTGTACTGCCACTTTTACCACTTTTACCACTTGTACAACTCCTCCTCCAACTTCTTCTTCTTCTTTTTATTCTTTTTTCATAACTTTTCTAATACCAATGCTAAACCTCGCCCAATTTTTCATTTCACACTTGTCTATCTATATCTTTCCCTTTCAACCTTCATAACGTATACATATATTTTTTTTTATTGACTGATACTACATATTATTCTAACTTGTACTATACTTATATAACCGCTATTGTTTTATTTCAGGTTTTTTTTCTAAATCATTAGATTTTTTCCTTATTTGTTTTATTGTTATTTATCTTGTTTTTTATCAACTGATATTATTATTCTTTCAGAATTATTGCTGTTATAACTTGTATTATACCAACATCGCCGTTATTGTTTTATATTCAGGTAAACAATTTTTCAAAAATGATATCGTATTAGTTTTATTGATATTTATTAACTTATATTATTATTCTAAAAACTGATATTATTATTATCAGCATTCTCTCTATAATAACTTGATTTTCCTAATTGTTCCATTTCCAGGTAAAACAAAGTGTTCAGATTTAAGATTTTATTATCATACTTGCTATTTTTATTTTATTTTTTATTTTTTAAATTCAAGTTTGTATTGTTATTCCACAATTGAAATATCTGACAAAAAGTTCATGGTGATAAACCGTGCTCCTATCTAAATAATGATAAAAGATTCAAAGAGTCATATAATTATCTATACAGTATATCTATTTATGAAAAAAAAATCCTAATTTAAAAATTAAATTCCATATTTTTATTCAAACTTAGAAAGACGATAAAGAGAAAGTCGAAAATGTTTTTTTTTAATGACTCTCTTGTAACAGAGTAAGTTACAGGACTCCTTTGATTTGTATTTGCCTCTTCACTAACAAAAACTTATTATATATTTTAAATGACAATATAGATGTGCATGAATTATGATTGAGCTTCAAAAAATCAAATGGTTTTGAAGTGAAAAAATATGCGAAGTAATAGAAGACTTCGGATAATAATCATTGAGGGGATTTAGTGATAAGAAAAAAAAGATAATATGATGTGATGAGACGATAGATAGTTGATACATAATATTATTATTTAATTTAATGGGAGCATTATTATAAAAAATTAAGAACCAATATGAATGGGAAGTAGACAAGGAGCTTTATTTTAACTCCGAACGAAATCCCGTGAGGGTTAAGACGCGTACATGAGTGCGTGTGCGTTTGGGTGTGTGGGTGTGGGTGCGTGGGAGGTGCACTGGGAAGTTTATGGGGCGGGGAAATGTGTAGGGTATAATGAATCGCATATATGTGATAAAAGCGGGCTGATGATAACGATACAAGATTAAAATGTATAGATGATAATGATGACGAATGATGATGATTTATGATAATGATAACAACGAAATGATTGTTACCCTCTTCGTTAAAATAATGGCATCGATTTTTCAAGGGATATATTTTGTTTCATTCATTGAGCATCGTTTCAGGAGAAACTTACAAACTTAAAAATCAAAACAAACATATAAATAAGAGGGTAAATGATATTTTTTAAATTCATGTTGATGTGTGGTAAATTCATGGTAAATAAACAAAAGTGATATACGTTTCGTAATCGCTTACCCGAATTCATTTAGGGTTAGATCGCTATAATGTTTTCATTAATGAAAATAAAAACGAAAACAAAACTTAATATTAATGAATGTGTAAAGTATTTCACGTAATTATATTTGAAAATGACCAATAGATCATTTTCGTAATGCAATTAAATTTAATTCATACATCTTTGTTAAGTGCCCTGTTACAAATAATTTCATTCACCTGTTACAAATAAATATATTTCAATAGTCAGTGGCGAATTGCATACATTAATTGTTGCTAGGTAGGACAAACATCATGGCTTGTCCTATCTAACAACACGGAATGTATGCCAGTTCGCATTCTGAGTTTCTGACTATTGAAATACAATTATTCGTAACAGGTGAATGAAATAATCCGTAACGAGTCCCTTCACTAAGATTTCTGCATTAAATTTGAGCTAGAATTGAAATTGGAAAAAGTGGTGATGATTATGTAAATACATGTATCTCCTTACTGTAAGTAGTAGTATTAGAATCGTGACGCTGTGCGGACGATTTAGAATAGAAATTTCATTTTGTTTTTGTTTTTCTTAAATTATTATTACATTTTGTTTGCCATTGTTTGTTTTGCTGTGCATTGAATTGCTATTTGAAAGCATGTTAATCTTATACTAGGATAATATTGATAACTAAATAACATCATTTAAAAAAATCGATGATACATTTGAGCAAACAAAAAATGAGAGTTTGTAAAAACTTTGATTGATAAAAAGGCCACATTCAGAACTTTCATAGTAAATTATATGACTTTTATATTTCGATGATAAAAAAAATACAATGGACAATTTGCATGTGCTCTACACAATTTTGAGTTTATATAGAAACATAAACATGACATTAAAAAAATATAAATCAATATAAAATAAGCATAATTATAGTGACTTACAATTAAGAAATACCAAATTGCGCGTATATAATAAAGGCCATTGTAACTGCGTGTTAAGAAAAAAAAGTGCTTTTTGAGAGAAAAAGTAAATTCATAGGTATTTTTACGTTCGTAGAGCAAAACATGAACACTTTTTTCGTAAACAAGTTGCGGAATTCGTATTCTTTAATCATTTAACGCTTTAGTGGCGAGCAAAATATATAAGAAAGTATATATAAATTTGCAGTGTCAAGCTGACAGTTGTAAAGTCTGCAATTTTTCCAGTTCATAAAAATATCGGTATTGTGTTTTATGTGTTAGAGATTAGATTGTAATAGTGTTATCTGTTATCAAACAATCTATAATCTTTATAAAAAAAAAGAAGTGATAGTTGTGAGTTTTTGTGTTATTTTCGATGTGATGACATAATTAAGGTCATTTTTTGTTAAGGTTTTGAATGCAGTGTATTCAATGTGAGTTTAAAGTGTTGTTTGAGATTTTAGTGAGGAATTGCGGAATTGCATTTTGACGTAGTCTATATAAGCTGATACTTAAAAATATTTCGTAGAACTGTAATGACTATATTACCAAAACTACTATATTCGTTTTCTTTTTCCATGGTGTACGTAGAATAAGGGATCATTCATATCATATACGTAGATTAATTATGATATTTTCGTCATTTACAGAATTAAAGTGGTAATATTATCTTCATGTATCTTCATTTATCCTTGGATTTTTGTTGTTGGTAAAGCAAGATGCTAAGCAGTTATTATACGACGAAAAGCAAGATGGCGCGCATGTAAGAAAAACAACTATGTTATATTTTACATTATCTTTATCTACTATTATGAGCATGCAGGTAGTTATTGTGTAATTTAAAAGAAATTCTAGAACTTTGTGCGAGAGTAAAAAGTTGACTTTGTTGTTAACCAGTTTGCCTATTTCTACTGTAAACTATAAGTAATATATGTGTTAACGAGATTATTCCATTTTAGAAATTATAGCGTTTATGCAAACGCGTTTATTTACATATCATCAATTCGGTGGTTGAAGCATTTATTTTGCTAATTATAGGCCTATATAGCGTATTATGAGAAATAACTATGACAATTTAACAGAAATACGAGAGTAAAAAGTTTACTTTGTTGTTAACTAGTATGCCTATTTCTACTGTAAGTTGCAAAAAAAAAATGTATATGCTAACCAGATAGCTACATTTGAGAGAGTATATCGCTAACGCAAGCGCGTTCATTAAGCATGTATCTTGACATTACTGTAGGCATATACAGTGCGTCCCAGCAAAAACGAAACCGAGAATTATGATGATTTATCATAACTTAGTCACATTTATAATAATTAATAAATGACACATATTTGGAAAGCTTAGATCCTCCTCTTTCGTCTTATGCAACTCATATGATGCATATTTCACGCATGAGTGATTAAAATGAATTTGAAGAGAGGAAACCAAAAGTCATTTGGCGGACGGTATGTGAATTCCAAGGAGAAAATCACATTTCTAGAAAGTTGAGATTCTGCTCTTTTATATGACACCTCAATCAGGAAACATGAGCAGGAAATGACCAAGTTCTGTTTGTTTAAAGTAGTGCTTGCATTTCCAGAATTTTATCAAACGAATTCGTTTTCACTGGCTGCCTGCTGTAGCAATTAGCAGAATTGACATCAGACTTAACTTCGTTTCGTTGACAATCAGCCATGCATGAAGACTTTCATCTACGGCTGATTGTCAACGAAACGGAGTTAAGTCTTTTGTTAACTCTGTTTGCTGCTACGACAGGCAGCCAGTGAAAACGAATTCGTTTGATAAAATTATGGAAATGCAAGCACTACTTTAAACAAACAGAATCTTGTCATTCCTTGCTCATTTTTCCTGATTGAGGTGTCATATGAAAGGGCAGAAACTCAACTTTCTAGAAATGTGATTTTCTCCTTGAAATTCAGATACCGTCCGCCAAATGACTTTTTGGTTTCCTCTCTTCAAATTCATTTTACTCACTCATGCGTGAAATATGTATCATTATGAGTTGCATCAAATGACAGAGGAGGATCTAAGCTTTCCAAATATGTGTCATTTTTTAATTATAAATGTGACTAA